AGCTCTAGAATTACTACGGTTATCCGAGTAGTAGATACCATCAAACAAACTATAACTGATTTAATGAGCCATTCGCAGTTTCACAGTCTGAATTAGTTCATACTTACACATGCATGGCTTAATCTTTGAGACAAGCATATGACTACTGGCAGGATCAACCAGGTAGCATCCATCCTTGACCGCGCCCCCGTGATGCCCAACACGACAAAGACCATGGTCGTGGGTCGTGACCGACACCAGGGGGGCAACCGTCATTCGTTCTTGGTTGCCAACCAATAATAATAATAGAATAGCATGGGACAGTCACCTGCCTCCATTCCACCGAATGCACCGTATCCGAAAGAACGATCTCAACACGTGTGCCACCACCATATAGACTTGCAAAAATGAGCTGCTCAGGTCAGGTGGCGGGTCACGTGTGAGACCTTAAGATCCTCCCCGAGTCCAGCAAGGAACCCTGGACAGAAATAATATTTAGGACTGACCGCAATTGTACCATTTCGTAGGTAGGCAACACAGGGACCGACCGAGCATAATCACCCAAGGCCAAAGGGTGACCATGAATGATGAGGATGCATGTTAGAAGTTCGATGCACGAGCACGGAGCCAACCAACAAAAACATCCTTATAACCACTCACACGCCCTCACGGTCGCCAGGCAAAACACCAATAAACGAACCACCCCCCACTTGCCCATGGCAAGCAAGCAAATGGAAACATCACATGGCACCAAGTCTGGCATCGCTAGGCATGGATGAGGCAAGCAGGCAATGCAAAGAAAGTTTGGGTCATCATGGTAAAAAAAGTTTGGGTGTGCTAGACGCACATGGCAAGGGGACAAACAAAAGGCTACGGTCAAACAAAGCATGGCAAAGAATGTTTGGGTGAGTGGGTGTAACGTGAGGAAGGGGGTGCAAACAAGAAACGGGGTGCAAGCACGAAAGAGGGTGCATGCATGTCAACATGTGCAAGCACGGCAAGGTGTGCATGCACGGCAACGGATAAGGTAGTGCAAGCACAGCAAGGTGTGCTAGCACAGGGGTAGTGAAGAAAATTTGGAGGAGGCACGGGAAGAAGCCCCAGTAACCACCCGCTCAAGCCAGCAATGACTCAAGACTCCACACAAAGTGCGTTGTGTCGGGGATCAGACAACTCTCGCCCAGGATACCCTGAATCACTACGGTCATCACCCCTCTGATTGCCGTGACCGTCTCCCAACACCACAAAGAATGGACTCCACGACCGATAGAATCCTTAACATTTTGAGGGACAGACTTGATATCGCAGATCCCAGTGAGGGTAGTGCCCTTCGTGTGGACGAAGATTGTTAGTCAACACCTCGAATGCCGAACGCCATTGCCCCATTTAGCAATTTTGTCCTTCATGTGGACGGAGACTAACTCCCAACACCTCGAACGCCGACCACCATTGCCTATAGTTTCCTTGAAATCTCGAAAGCCCACAAAATCTCCAGACCTGACCGATAGCTTTGGCCACCCATTATGATGTTAAAATAAGTCACGCAACTGCTGCCACACATTTCCGAGGGTCAGGCAAAAAATCGACCAACTCGAGCTTATCGACTTGGACTCAACCAAAGTCGACCGACTCGGATCCACCAGAATTGATCCAACTGAGGTCAATCGATCCAGCTTATCGAACTTGTACTCGACTCGAAGTCGACTCGACCTGGTCCACCAAAATCGACCGACCGAGGTTGACCGACCAAGCTTATCGACCTGGACCGACTCAAGTTGACTCGACTCGGGTCCACCAGAATCAATCGACTCGAGCTTATCGACTTGGACTCGACTCAAGTCGATCCAACTCTGGTCAGCCAAAGTTGACTCGACCGAGGTCGCTTAACATGTAGCCACTGCATGGAATCACCCATGACCAGCCATCCGGAACATGTATTGGAAGGGTCAAGGCAACCGTGGGACATGGGGGGGAGAGTCCCGTGGCAGCACCAGACTTGCCAGTGTGGGTGGCAAAGTTGAGGTGCACACCCCCCCCTATAATAGGCTAATATGCCATTTTGAAAATTGTACAAGTAGATACACTTTTTGTGAGTAGACATAAGTCCGAAAAATGGACCTAGAGATCGAATTTTGATGCGATTTTTTGCAGTATTCCTTATAAAAATAACATAACCCTGTTCCCCAAATCTGGGAATTTAAATCAAATGGGAAGTATATTTTTTTATTTTTCAAAGTGCCGAAATGCGAAAAATCGGGAAAAATGGAAAATGGTATCTAGAGATCGTATTTTGATGCGATTTTTTGCATGCATTCCCCTATTAATATTTCCAAGCTACCCTCCAAATTTCATTTCAATCGGACAAAGCATTGAATTTCTATGATTTTTCATATGAAGCTGGCAATATTGAAGTTTGAAAAAAGGCTTGAATATGGATGTCTTATGCCCCAACACTTTCCCAGGATATTGAGGGGTCTAATTTAAGTTTATTGGTGCAAACAATATGAAATTGGCACAGAGAAAATAAAATTTGACCCATGACACCAAATCTGACCGTGCCAGCCAACAGACCATCGACCAGGACCAGGCATTAGCACCAGGATCGGCACCAATCGCACCAGGATCAGCATCTGGACCAGGACTGACAGCCGCACCAGGACCAGCACCACCAAAATCGAACCGTGGCATCATGCACCAGCCGAAATCGATCGAGCCAGTTCACCACCAAATCGACCGAGGCACCATGCACCAGCCTGAATCTGACCGAGTCAGTCACCACCAAATCGACCGAGGCACCATGCACCAGCCAAATCGACTCGTGCCAGCCAACTCGACCATCGACCATGACCAGCATCAGTACCAGGATCGGCACCAGGACACCAGGACCAGCATCGGAACCAACACCACAGCGCATCAAGACCAGGCACCACCGAAATCGGTTGCGGCACCATGCACCAGCAAAAATCGATCGAGGCACCATGCACCAGCCAAATCTGACCGCGCCACCCAACAGACCACGACCAGCACCAGCATTAGCACCAGGATCGGCACCAGCGCACCAGGATCAGCACCTGGACCAGCACCACAGCGCACCAAGACCAGCACCACCAAAACTGACTCGTGGCATCATGCACCAGCCGAAATCGACTCGAGCCAGTCACCACCAACATCTGACCGTGGCACCATGCACCAGCAAAAATCTGACTCGAGCCAGTTCACCACCAAACTGACCGAGGCACCATGCACCAGCCAAATCTGACCGTGCCAATCACCACCAAACTGACCGAGGCACCACTGCACCAGCCAAATCTGACCGTGCCAGAGAACTCACCAGGACCAGCACCAGTATAAGCACCAAGATCAGCACTAGTGCACCAGGACCAGCACCGGGACCAGCGCCACAGCTCACCAAGACCAGCACCACCAAAACTGACCGAGCCAGTCACCACCAAATTGACCGAGGCATCATGCACCAGCCAAATCTGACCGTGCCAGAGAACTCACCAGGACCAGCACCATGGCACCAGCACCAAGACCGGGACCAGCACCACAGCGCACCAAGACCAGCACCACCACAAAATTGATCGAGCCAGTCACCACCAAACTGACTGAGGCACCATGCACCAGTCAAATCTGACTGTGCCAGAGAAATCACCACGATTAGCACCAGCATAAGCACCACCATCAGCACCAGTGCACCAGGACCACCACCAGGATCAGCACCATAGCGCACCAAGACCAGCACCACCAAATTGACCGAGGCACCATGCACCAGCCAAATCTGACCGTGCCAGAGAACTCACCAGGACCAACACCAGCATAAGCACCACGATCAGCACCAAGACACCAGGACCACTGACCAGACTAACGGGCACCAGACCAGCACCAACAGCTGCACCAAGACCAGAGCACCACCAACATCTGACCGTGACACCATGCACCAACAAAAACTCGACACCGAGCCAGATCGCACCACCAAACCTGACACCGAGGCACCATGCACCAGCCAAATCTGACCGAGCCAGTCACCACCAAACCGACCGAGGCACCATGACCAGCACCAACATAAGCACCGGAGCACCAGGACTAGCACCTGGACCAGCACCATAGCGCACCAAGACCAGCATCACCACAAAATTGATCGAGCCAGTCACCACCAAACTGACTAAGGCACCATGCACCAGTCAAATCTGACTGTGCCAGAGAAATCACCATGATTAGCACCAGCATAAGCACCCACCAGCAGCACCAGGACCAGCACCATAGCGCACCAAGACCAGCACCACCAAAACTGACCGTGGCACCATGCACCAGCCAAATCTGACCGTGCCAGAGAACTCACCAGGACCAGCACCAGCATAAGCACCACGATTTTGACCGGTAAGCACCACAGCGCACCAGACCAGCACCACCAAAACTGACCGAGCTAGGACAAATACAAAGGCACCGCGACCAGCACCAAGGGACCACGACCATGACCAGCACCAAGACAAGCACAAAGCCACCGAGGTTAACCAACATTGATCGAGCCAAGCACCACCAAAACTAACTCACTCCCTCCCTCCACTAGTCCCACTTAGTTAAAAATGCTTTGGTTGGTTGTCATCATACCTTGGTTGAATTGGAGGATGAGGAAGTACTTGGTTAATGCTTTAATGTTTTGGAAGGACAACAAGTTGTCTTGTCTTGTGATGACATGACATCATTCATACCTTGTGCGTGCGACAGTTGGGTTGGGTGCACCCACCCGGTGTCATTCTAAGAAATGCCTTTTTGGTATGTGGTGGGTGGTGCAGTGTGCCGTTGGAACGGTGGACCAAAATACTTGGTGGGGTGGGTGAATGCAAGTCGATAGGGTTTGGCCATAGGTCGACCCGAAGGAGCCTCGTTAGTAGTTTTTTCACAATTGTAAGATAGGTCATGATCATAGTGATAGATAAATGGAACAAGGTTTTTGTTTTATTTCGCAAGCTAAGTAAACTTAAGTTAAGTTGAGAGGGAGCAACAATACAATTGTATTTATGTATGTAAGAAAGGGTAAAGGGGAGGGACGAATCAAAGCGACAAGGGCTGAATCTCAGTGGATCGTGGCAACAAGGCCACTCTGCCACTTACAATACCCCGTCGCGTATTTAAGTCGTCTGCAAAGGATTCTACCCGTCGTCCAATGGAAGTTGTGCTTCAAGGCGTCCCGCAAGGCTGATCCGCCTCACGAGGGTCACCCACGGCACGTGCCTCTGGGGGGCCGAGGCCCCCTACTGCTGGTCGGCAAGCGAACGACGGGCGCACGCATCGCTTCTAGCCCGGATTCTGACTTAGAGGCGTTCAGTCATAATCCAACGCACGATAGCTTCGCGCCACTGGCTTTTCAACCAAGCGCGATGACCAATTGTGCGAATCAACAGTTCCTCTCGTACTAGGTTGAATTACTATTGCGACACTTTCATCAGTAGGGTAAAACTAACCTGTCTCACGACGGTCTAAACCCAGCTCACGTTCCCTATTGGTGGGTGAACAATCCAACACTTGGTGAATTCTGCTTCACAATGATAGGAAGAGCCGATGTCGCCGCCTCCCAAAAAGGGGCGCGGTCGGAGCGACGCGATGGTTATTTCGACTCTTCTTCTTTCGCGTTTCTTATTGGTGGTTACAACGCCTTTAGGCTGTCCGATAACCGGGCTAACCTAGGGGCGAGGTTTTCAAAAAGTGTCCTTGGGTTGTCCGGTAACCGGGCTAACCCAAGGACTTATTTGTTTTGGGTTCTATGGAGTCGCCACCGATATTTTTACCATAAACATCGGAAAAGGGGCTTTAAAAAGGCGTTGGTTTTCGAAAACCAACTTGGTCATTAGAACCAGAGTTGGGTAAGGGAGTTAGTTACGTGTAAAGGAAGTGTTAGTTCCTTTACGACGCCCCTTTCGGGTTCCCTATGATAGGCCGGCTAATTTGAGTAAATAATTAAACTGGAAAATAGCGCTTTTACCCTTTTATTATGCGGTATTTAGAGATTATGACTACATGGCCCTAGTATCTATTGCATACATTTAAATGAAAGCGATAAAATTAGAAGGAGAGAGAATGTGCACCTCCAAAGCAAGCTTTTTATATATTTCTTTTTAAAGAGAGGGTGCGTTTCGGCAACCCTTCACTCTACAACTCTCAGAAAACTCCGGAAATGCCTCGGAGGGATTCTTAGAGAGAGAAAGTCTAGAGAGAAGGGAGAGCTATGTTGATTCTGTGTGGAAATGAGGGGGGGAGGACCCCTATTTATAGTTTTTCGCGCCTGACAGGTCGAGACCGCTGTCTCCTCTGACAGGGTCAAGACCGCCGTCTGGAAAGTCCGGACCGCCGTCTGGAAAGTCTGGACCGCCGTCTCGTTCATGGCAGAGGGTCGAGACCGCCGTCTGGGAAATCCAGACCGCCGTCTCGACTGGGCAGGAATTGAGACCGCCGTCTAGGAAACCCAGACCGTCGTCTCGACCTTTGCAGGAGACGAGACTGCCATCTGGAAAATCGAGACGGCGGTCTCGTCCTGGCGTTGAGATGAGACGGCGGTCTGGTCCTTCCAGACGGCGGTCTCGTCCCTTCAGGGCGAGAAACTTTATTTTTCGGGCCAAAAAACCTTCCTATCTTGGTACAGGGGCCTAATAGTCTCTCCTAGTGGCTTGTTAGGCTTCGGTCGTCTTCAAATAGGAAGCTTTCTGGCTTTATTTGGAGGCCGGGCAAGATTTGGGGTCTACAGCTGCCCCCCTTTACCCGACCGGTCGATCGTTGGCTTGTCATGCCGACAGTGTAGACAGGAAGGTAAAGGAGTTGACCCTCTTGCCCGGCTACCCTTCGGACGTCCCGTCTTGTGGCAGGTGATCCTCTGGGGAGATGTTGTGTTTGTGCACCTCTGGGATACTACTCCTGACGTAGCCGATCCCTTCGGTTGACACGTGGTAGAACCTCCGGATACTACTTCTGACGTAGCCGATCCTTCGGTTGATGGGTATGAACCCCCCATCAGGCTGGTAGTTACAGTCCGTTGTGTGGGACTGGATGGGTATGAACCCCCCATCAGGCTGGTACGGTCCGTTGTGTGGGACCGGATGGGTATGATCCCCCCATCAGGGTGGTACGGTCCGTTGTGTGGGACTGGATGGGTATGATCCCCCCATCAGGGTGGTAGTGGCGGCTTACAGTTCAGGTGGCCCATGCGTCGTCTTCCTGGAGAGTGATTTTTTGTGTTGGTAGATTATTTCTGTACTTCTTGAATGTTCATCCGGGTTGTGCCGGGGATTTCGTGGGTTGTCCATCTAGCTTTGTTGGTTGCTGGGGATTCTTTGTTTCTGTTTTGACTTTTTTGTGGTAATCATCCGACTTCTTGCTGGTTGGCCGGATTTTCTTTGTTTTGTTCGACTTTTGCTTGACAGTCGGAATTTTGGTTAAGGTGGTCGTTTTAATCCCGCCTTTTTCTCGCGGTTTTATCTTCTCTTTTTTTTTTCTCGCGATTTTGGATTTTGGCTTTTTATTGAGCGTGTGCCTTTTTCTTTTTAAGCTTTTTTTGTTACGCCGACTTTTGGAAAGGATGGCAAAAAGGTTGGCGAAGTCATGTCGGGATACCTCTTTTTATTGTTTTTAAGAATGCAGGTATGAATGCTTTTTGATCTTTTTATTTGTTTGTTTTGCTTTTGACAAAGTCATTTTTGTGCAACTATTTGTGCGTGTGGATGCTTTCTATGTAATTTGTTTTAGTTGAGGACATCTAGAAAGTAACCGGTGCTTCCTTCTTTTTGTTCTCTCGTGATTATTCTTTTTGTACTTTTTGTTTTAACCCTATCTTTTGCCTAGACCGCCCTTTGTGGGTTTTCGATCTAGCAGGCTACCTTGTACTTTTTGGGACGGCCCTGGTTGGTGATGTTTGTCTTTTGTTTTTATGCTTTCTCGAATTGCTTGTTTTATGCATGCTCATATTTCGTTAATACAGAGGCATTTATACAAGTAGGTAAAGAGAAAGGAAAGGCAATTTTATTGATATAAACAAATGGTTTTTTACATGGGGGTTTTACAATAGAATTTGTAAGCATGGCTGGCCAAGGTTGGTTAAACTGTATGAGGGTACCACAATCATGTTTGTGATCTTTGTTTCCCCGTTTTTCCTGGTCCCTTCAGTTGAGATGCTTGAATCCGAAGTGAAGACTATGCGAAGCCTGCTTGTTTTTGGAGGTTTTACCTTAGTAGCCTCTGCGGTTTTCGGCTAAGGTAATCATTGCTCTATTTTCATTTTTTTGTTGTTGTTTTTTTTTTTTTTTTTTTTTTTTTTGAGACCTCTATTTTTTTGCCTAGGACGTGTCCTAGCGAGGTATGTAGACCCTATCTTTTGCCCAGGACTCTCTTTGCGAGTTTTCATCCTGACGGGTCATGAGCAATGTCTTTAGGCATAATATTTTTTCACTGCATCTGAGTTGACAGGATATCGGAGCTCTTCTCCATCCATGTCGGTGAGGATAAGGGCTCCCCCGGAGAAGGCTCTCTTGACCACAAAGGGTCCTTCATAGTTTGCTGCCCATTTCCCGATTTTGTCTTTTTGGGCTGGAAGCAGCTTCTTCACTACTAGATCTCCTTCTTGGAAAGCGCGGGGATTGACCTTCTTGTCGTAGGCCTTCTTGATTTTCCGCTGATAAGCTTGCCCCCGGCATATGGCGTCCAGCCATTTTTCTTCGATTAGGTTCAATTGATCGTACCGGTTCTGGACCCATTCAGCTTCTGTTAGCTTGGCTTCCATGACAACACGCAGAGAGGGTATCTTGACTTCTATTGGTAATATGGCCTCCATTCCGTATACGAGGGGAAACGGGGTGGCCCCTGTGGAGGTTCGTACCGACGTTCGGTAGCCATGCAAGGCGAAAGGAAGCATTTCATGCCAATCTTTATAGGTGACCACCATTTTTTGAATGATTTTCTTGATGTTTTTATTGGCTGCCTCTACTGCACCGTTCATCTTCGGTCGGTACGGAGAGGAGTTGTGATGCTGGATTTTGAAATCTCGGCATAATTCCTCCATCATCTTGTTGTTGAGATTGGTCCCATTATCAGTAATGAGCCTGTGAGGGATGCCGTACCAACATATGATGTTTTTCTTGATGAAGGTGGTCACCACTTTCCGGGTTACATGTGTATACGATGCTGCCTCAACCCACTTGGTGAAATAGTCGATTGCTACCAATATGAAGCGATGGCCGTTAGACGCTTTGGGTTCAATGGGTCTGATGACGTCCATGCCCCACATAGAAAATGGCCATGGTGTAGCCAGGTTACTGAGAGGTGCGGGTGGTACATGAATGTTATCGGCGTATACTTGGCACTTGTGACATTTCTTGGCATATTGATGGCAATCGGCTTCCATTGTGGACCAATAGTACCCTGCCCTGAGGATTTTCTTGGCCATGACATGCCCGGGTGCGTGGGTTCCGAAAGTCCCTTTGTGGATTTCTTTTATCAATGTTTGGGCTTCTTCTTGGTCCACGCACCTTAAGAGAGTAGAGTCGGGGCTCTTTTTGTAGAGGGTTCCTTCAATCAACGTGAACCCTATAGCCCTTTTGCGAATGGTTCGTTTATCATTGTCACTGATTCCCTCGGGGTACTCGCCCTTCATGAGGTACCGCTTGATGTCATGGTACCAGGGGTTTTGATCGCACTCGTTGTCGCCGCCTCCCCGAAAACGGGGGCGCGGTCGGAGCGACGCGATGGTTTTTCTGAAAGTGATCCTAGCAAAGATCTCAGTGATTTGATGAAGTCAAAGATAAAGTCAAAGGTCAACTCTGCAACAGTCAAACAAGTCACTCAGAAGAATGGAGCTGAAGACTTAGTGTGTCTTAACAGAAAGCTTAGGTAAAACCACTTTACCTTTTTCCACTGCATGAAGCTCCTTCACTCAATTTGCAAAATGCCTCAAAAATAGTTTTAAACAAATCAAACAAAAGCATTTTGACAAAGAACCTTCTTAACAATGGTTTTAACTGATATAGTTTTTTTAAGAAACGATTAAAATCACTAAGAATGCGTAAAGAATTGTTTTTACAGTATTTTAATCGATACAAACTTCTTTTAATCGATTAAAACCCTTTAGAAATCATTATGACCGATTAGATTTGATATATAAGCAATCAGAACTTGTTTCAATCGATTAAAACACGTTTTAATCGATTAAAATCATTTAAAAGGTCGAATGATCGATCGAATACGCTTATGACCGATCGAGTGGTTATGATCGATCGAATTGAATTATGACCGATCAGACTTATTTCAATCGATTAAAACGTATTTCAATCGATTAAAATAACTTAGAAAATCTTTTCAATCGATTAAAACGAACTTTCAATCGATTAAAATGACTTGAAAATATATGTGCAGTTTTTCAATCGATTGAAACGACTTT